AGATCCCAGTCGACAATGTGCTTCGCCATTTCCATATTTCTTGGACGGATAAAAATGGCAGGGGCTTTTAAACTGGGTTCATCCAGTCGTCTTTGCAATAAAAGTTTTAAATTCACCATAGCTGTTTGAACATCTGATTCAAGTACAGCATCTTCAAGACATACCGCAATTGATTTAATCTGAGGAAATTTAATTCCTTGGGTAACTTCCCACAATTGTTCATGTGTTGCAGGAATATACATGGTCGCGCCAAGTTCAATGGCGTGTAAAAGTGGCTTCATTTTTTCTTCTCTACTTTTTTTATCAATGTTGCTGCGTGATAAGGACCTAATTTTGTTCCCAGAATATCGACTGGAATATTTCGCTCACGTGCAAAGTGCAATAATAATTGTACATGAGGGTTAGATTCATCTTTCAATAAGATTCGTTCAGGTACGCGTCTTAAAACTGCACGGGTTGCTTCAGCAATACTGGGTTTTATATGGTTAATATTTTGAATCGCATATTGTGCTGCAATCCATTCAATCGTTTCTGCACATTGCTGCTGTTGTGCTAAACGAATTTGATTGTTCCAGCTCACCTGTTTATCAGTTGGATTTTGTTCAATCAACAGTCGTATTTGCTCAACAAAATTGACAGAAAGGTCATAAGGTTTTAGCTGATCATAGATTAAACAACTGTGCCATTTTTGTGTCTGATAGCAATTTTTACGGGCATCTTGCTGTTCAATCGTTTCTTTTAGAATCGTCCGAGAAGTCAATCCAGAGATCACTGAACCCAATATACCAAATGGAATCAACCAATCATCTGTACTGGCACTTAACCAAGAATAACCACCCAAATCAGATAGGGTAACTAAACGCGGGATCTGCCAATTTTCATCAAAGAGCTCAGGAATGTCTTGTAGATTTTTTGTGAGTTCTTTGCATATCGCGCCTTTACCTGTCCAGCCATCTACAAAAACGATATTCTCAGCACCATGTTGTTCAATAATTGCTTGCAGTGCAGCAAAGTCAACACCTCGATCACGAATGATACTAATACCATAGTGATAACAAGACTGATGCTTTTCAAGGTAATGCTTGAGTAATACACCTAAAGGAACACCAGCGCGAACCAAACTCACCAAAACAATCTCTTGCTTGGGAAAACGTTGCATCAAACTGTTGCCAATTTTTTGAACTTCTTCGGCAAGGCGCTGTGCACCTTGTTCAAAGGCATGCTGATAATGTTGCATTTGTTCATCCGTTGGCGGATGTTCAGCACTGATCATTTGTGAATAGTGCATTTTTCCTGACTGGATCAGATATTCTTTTTCTTCAACTGCAGTGGGTTGAATATCATCAATCTGCATCAAAAAAGTAACATCTTCGGGACGATATGAACCGTGAAAGCCAAGTTCGTTCAATATTGGATTGAGTGGTGTGATCAATGAATTAGACATGACCTAAATATCCTTTAGTGTCAAAATCATGGCTTAAATGCGTATTGAGAAACTTATCCAACTGACTGCTTTTCGGCATTCCAAACCAGTCGCAACAGCTGAGGAATCCAGCATCTGATAGACTATCGCCCCAACCTAAAATAATACGTTCCCGTTGCGGATCATGTTTCTGAATATAAAACTCAACCGCGCTTTGTTTGCTGACATGATGTGGAATAATCGCCAGATTATTGCCATTGATATGGATATAGCACTGTTCCAGTAGAGGTTTAGGTAATTTCTCAACAAGCCGATCTAAAAATAACGCACCAGCTTGTTTTTGCTTTGCAACAGAATAAATACTCAGTTCATTTTCAACTAAAGTCCAAGTTCTTACTGCACCAAAATCTTTGGCATAGTCATGCAAAGCTTCTGGCAAGTCAGTCAGTATGCCATTGAGTTGAATTTCATGTTGTTTTTGAAGATCAAACCAGTCAGTATCCACAGCTAAATTTTGATCCAGAATCGTGCCACCATGGGAACAAATCGCACCATATTTAAAAGGGATTTGTACACGTTTAAAGCCTTCAACTGAGCGAGCAGTTACAGGCACAACCTCAGCAGATTCAAGCAACCAATTCAAAAAAGACTGCTGTTTTGGACTCATATATGAAAGCGGTTGTCCTGAAACATCTGTAGTCACCATTTGATGTTGTGGAGTCGGTTGCTGTTTTCGATAAGTTTGAAATAAAGTGTCATCCAAGTCGACAAAGACTAAAGGTTTAGGGTTCATAACTGATCACTTCCAAATTTTTAATTTGTTCAAACAAGCTTGGGTCTACGCTATCTTGGTGTGTTTCAATCACCAAAAGCACCCGATCAAATTCTTGATGTTTTACGTTATAAGCAAAGTTTTGGATATTTAACCCATAATTATCATGAAACTGGCAAATACTTTTTATCGCATGTCCTTGCATGATCGGTGAACGTGTTGTTGAACTAAAGTAAGTTTCAGCACCTTGTTGTTCCAACTGTTCTGCAATAAGAAAAGGGATCCAACTAAACTCACCTGAACCCAGTACAAGTATTTTTTCGCCTGGATGATTAATGTGAATATGTTCCCATGGCGTACATTCTAAATAACCTGGCTCACGTCCCCAATTATTTGGTGCAATAATTTTCTGTGCCTGTTGCTCAGTGGAGCTGACATTGGGCATATTAATCTGAATATTGTGCTGATTCGCTTGCCACTGCCAATTCCCTTGCAATAATGAAACCACTTCCACAGGGATATCAAGTTCATCCGTTGCAAGACTGTGCTCAGCCCAGTTCACCAACGTGACCAAGATCACGCGTTCAACTTGCTGCAAACCAGAATTGGTTAAGCTGTTGATCAGGTTTTTAAAGGTTTTTCCAGTCGAAATTTCATCATCAACTAAAATCAAAGTTTTTGAATTAATCACTTGCTGATGTTTGGCTAAATCATGGCTGCTTAGAATAAACTGATCCTGAGCATGGCTATGTTCTTCTAGAAAAAGCCCCAACGTGGGTAAAGTCGATACAGGGTGTCGTGTTGTGGTTAAGAAAATCGCATTTTTGCCATGTTGTTTTTTTAATTCACGATAAACCCCAGCACCCAAACCGACTGCTGTTTCGGCCATACCAATGACACAGATTGGCCCAGCCAAATCTGTAGGTACTAAACTGGCTAAATCGCTATAACTGCGCTGCATGACAGAGGGTGCGACAGGGATATGTTTCCCCAATACTTTGGAAACAAATAAAAATGCTCTTTTAGGATTAATTCTTTCTGCAAAATCTAATAAATCATCTAAAGCCCAGTGGCTATGTTGTTGGTTAACTTGAACACTGATTCGCCCACGACTTAAATCTATATGCTTCATCTATATTACAAATCCAATTTTATACTATGGGCAATCGGTAAAGCTTTTACAGGCGATTGGTGTGGTGCTCGAACTAAATTCAAATTTAATTTTTCAGCAATCAGTTCAGCAATCAAATTGACTCCCGTATGTTGTGTATAAGCAAAACCACCAGCAGGGCGTGGATTGATCTCAAGAATATGCCATTGCAAGCTTTCATCTTGTTTAAATTGGATATTAATTAGTCCATCACATTGAAAATAATCGACTAAATCTATACAAATTTGATGACAAGGATGTTGCAAAAAACACTCTTGAAAATAAACATGTTTAATTCTGGTAACTTGAGCAATGATCTTTCCTTGACTACAAGCAATATCAACTGAGCATTCTTGCCCAGCCAAATAAGGCATAATCAGATATTCAACAGGCTCTTCCTGCTGACTATATGCCTCTATAAATTGCTGAGTATTACATTTGGTCGGTGAGCTAAAGTTTTTAAAGTACGACACATGATTCTGTAAGCGGACAAAGCCGGCACCATAAACCCCATAAACAGGCTTAGCGCAGATCTCACTATGTTGTAGCTGTAATGTTTCAATGGATGTCTTCAGCGTTTCTGTGGAATTGGCTAATAACGCTGGAATGACAGATAAATTTTGCGCTTCACAATGCAAGGTAAATTGGTATTTATTGTTCATCAACTCATGCTGTTCTGAGCTGAGTGTACCAGTAATCAACTGAATAGCATGTTGTTCAAATTGAGCTCTAAACGGCTCAATATGTTGGCTGTGTTTTCCACAGAAGAGCAGTTGAATATTATGTTCAATACATTGTTCTAATAACCATTCAGCGCTCTTTGAAATAGCAGGTTGCTGAAGATAAACATCAGCACTTAAGGCAAGTTCGGGACGGTTACGGCTGTGAGAACAAAATATAGTCAGTTGTTTTGATATACTCGAACTTTTCAGTAATTGAATCATATCATTTTGACAGGAATAACACTCGGCGATCCAAATTTTATATTGCTGTAGCACGGGTAATTTAATCTCAAATTTTTATAAAGAATAACGAAGTTTTTAAAGCGACTATCTGATGCGCTGGAAAATATAACAATTCCCCATAGTGATACAATATTTAATTTTAATATTTTGTAAAAGTAATGAAACATAAAGAAAAAAACACTGAAACACTTGAGATTAGGAATTTTTATGGTAAAACATAGCATATCTATTTTTATTTGTTTTTTATAAAGAAAGTTAATTTAAAAACTTCATTTGAATAACGCATGATTTTAAATTCATTTTATCAAAAAGCGATAATATACCTATAAAGTGGAGGATTTATGCAGCTGGTTGCTGGTGGAAATATTCAAATACCTGCTCAGGATATTGAAATTTGTATAAAAACAGGTTTTTCATCTGAAATTGAATTAGATGTTACAGCATATTTATTGGCCCAAGGCACGCTTAAAGTGCGTGGTGATCAGGACATGATTTTTTATGGACAACATCAAACCCCCAATCAAAGTGTGGTTTTGCTAGAATCATCATCTAAGAACCCAAATCTCACCAAATTAAAAATCAATACTGCACTTTTAGATGCACAAATTCAAAAAATCGCTATTTGTGTCACGATCAATGAACCAAACACCATTGGAAATATTGTTCCGATTGATATTGAGCTTTATGCAGCGCAACAGTGTATTGCGACCGCACATTTAGATACTCGGAATAGAACTGAAAAAGCCTTAATTCTTGCAGAGATTTATTTACATAACAGCCAATGGAAATTTCGCTTTGTTGGCCAAGGATTTAATGGTGGATTAAAGCCATTGGCAGAAAACTTTGGTGTTGTGATTGCCGATGAAGTGAAAAATACTACACCTACACCTACACCTACACCTACAAATTCAAATATTAATCTTTCTAAAATTCGACTGGATAAAAACAATTCAACCATCAATTTAACCAAGAAAGGCAATGGTTTTGGAAAAATTTCAGTCAATTTAAACTGGAATAAAAGCCAGCCCAAATCCCAATCATTTTTTCAGAAACTATCGGGTTCAAGTGCAATAGATCTAGACCTTGGCGCGATGGTGCAACTTAAAAATGGTGAAATTGATTTAGTACAACCGCTGGGTAATCGTTTTGGCCGTTTTGAGGTCAAACCATTTATTCAGCTTGATGGCGATGATCGTACAGGTTCATCTGTACAAGGTGAAAATCTACATATCAATGGTAATCAATGGGATCAAATTGAACGCATTGTGATTTATGCTTATATTTATCAGGGTGCTGCGCAATGGGCTGCAACAGATGGTGTGGTCACCATTAAGATCCCAGACCAACCTGAAATTGAAGTTCATTTGACCGATGGTAATCAATTAACAACATGTTCTATTGTAGAATTAAAGAATAACAATGGCACTATACAAGCCAACCGAGAAGTTCGTTATTTTAAAGATCAAAAATATTTAGATGAACATTATGGTTTTGGGTTCCGATGGACACATGGTTCTAAAAATTAATTGACTGCATGTATTTAAACAATGAATGCACACTGCAATAAAGTAGAGGAAATATAAATGGCAATTTCATTAAACAAAGGTGGCAACTTATCTTTAAGCAAAACTGACCCAAGTTTAAACCAAGTTTTGGTCGGCTTAGGTTGGGATGCGCGTGCAACCGACGGAACAGATTTTGACTTAGATGCTTCGGCATTTTTATTGAGCGAAAGCGGTAAAGTTCGTGGTGAACACGATTTCATTTTCTATAACCAAACACGTTCACCTGAAGGTTCTGTTGAACATACAGGTGATAACCGTACAGGTGCGGGTGATGGTGATGATGAAGCAGTTCGCATTAATCTCGCACAAGTACCTGCAGATGTTCAAAAAATTGCAATTACAGTCACCATTCATGAAGGTGAAAGTCGCGGTCAAAATTTTGGTCAAGTTCAAAATGCGTTTATTCGCGTGGTAAATGATCAAAGCAATACTGAAATTGTGCGTTTCGATTTGAATGAAGATTATTCAACAGAAACTGCCATGATTTTTGGTGAATTATATCGCCACAATGGTGAGTGGAAATTTAGAGCTGTAGGACAAGGTTATGCTGGCGGTTTAAGCGCAATGTGTCAACAGTTCGGAATAAGCATCTAATATAAGAGTTCAATGGATGAAACATTTTCGCTTTTCGATTCTTTTTACCATCATTTGTCTAGCAATTTCTGCGTATTGGGGTTTTACACATGGTCCCCAAGCCGGCCTAATGACCATGTTCAAGGCATTGGCAATTACTGCAATTCTTGCAGTGATGGAAGTTTCTTTATCGTTTGATAATGCTGTAGTAAATGCTTCGGTACTTAAACACTGGAATCATTTCTGGCGAACCTTATTTTTAACAGTCGGTATTGTTATCGCTGTATTTGGTATGCGTTTAATCTTTCCATTACTCATTGTTGGCGTCACTGCAGACATGGGCATGATAGAGGTTGCAAAACTTGCGCTGAACGATCCAAAAACCTACTCTGAAAAGCTCATGGCACACCATGCTGAAATTGCAGCGTTCGGTGGTATGTTCTTGCTCTTAGTTTTTCTTAACTTTTTATTTGATGATGAAAAAGATGAGCATTGGTTCCATTGGTTGGAGTCAAAACTCGCTGATCTAGGCAATATTCAAGCGATTTCAGTGTTTATTTCATTATGTGCATTATTGGTTATGGCTAATTTTGTACCTGAAACTTCTCGTCTTGTTGTAACTATGGCAGGGATCTGGGGAATTGTGGTTTATGTTGGTGTTCAGGTGATCGGACACTTGCTTGAAGGCGGTTCACATGATGATGAACAAGAAGCAACTGAACAAACAACTTCAAATAATGGTGCACCAGTCACAGGTACAATCATCAAAGGCGGTATCGGTGGCTTCTTGTATCTTGAAGTACTTGATGCGTCTTTTAGTTTCGATGGTGTAATCGGTGCTTTTGCAATTACCAGTGATGTGGTAATTATTATGCTGGGCTTGGCAATCGGTGCAATCTTCGTGCGTTCTATGACGGTTTACCTTGTAGAAAAAGGTACGCTTGATGCTTATGTTTACTTAGAACATGGCGCGCATTATGCGATTGGTGCACTTGCATTCATCATGCTTGCAAGTGGAACAGGCTTACATATACCTGAAGTCGTAACAGGCTTGATTGGTGTCGCATTTATTGTTTGGGCAGTAATCTCATCAATTTCATATAGTAAAAAACAATCTCTTGAAACAACTGAAAAAGGAAATTAAAAATGGCTATTAATTTATCAAAAGGCGGTAACATCAACCTGTCTAAAACAGCGCCTACAATGAATAAAGTAGACTTAGGTTTAGGCTGGAATCCTCGTGTGACAGATGGTAAAGCATTTGACTTGGATGCGGTTGCTTTTCTGACTGGTGAAAATGGCAAAGTTCGTTTAGATGGCGACTTCATCTTCTTTAACCAAAAAACCTCTCCTTGTGGTTCTGTTAATCATAACGGTGATAACCGTACAGGTGACGGTGATGGTGATGACGAAACAATTTCAGTTGATCTAGCTAAAGTACCTGCTGATGTCGCAAAAATTGTTTTTGCTGTAACCATTCATGAAGGCCAACAAAATGGTCAAAACTTCGGTATGGTGGACAAAGCTTATATCCGTGTAATCAATCAGGATAACAATGCAGAAGAACTTGCACGTTTTGACTTATCTGAAGACGGTAGTACAGAAGTTGCCATGATTTTTGGTGAGTTATACCGTCATAGCGGTGAGTGGAAATTTAAAGCAGTCGGCCAAGGCTTTAACGGCGGCTTAGGTGCTTTGGCTGCAAGTTATGGTGTTGCAGTTTAATTTTTAAAATCTGTACTAAAAGATTTATCTTTTAGTACTTGAAAGTGATTCGGTTTAAATCGGTTCATTTATGAACACAGTAAAAATTATTTTCAAGTACTAAATAGAGAACAACAATGCAATTCATCACTGGACAAAAACTGGCACTTCACCAATTGTTGCAGACAGAGACACAGTTTAAACTACGTGTACAGGTTCAAGCACCTTTTGAAATCGATATTTCTAGTTTTGGTATTGCGCCAAACGATAAACTTTTCCATGATGATTATATGACTTTCTATAATCAGCCACAGACTCCGAAAGGCGAAGTTCAATATCAGCTTCAAGGCAACATGCATAGTTTTGCCTTTGATTTAAATAAGATAGATACAGCGCGAACATCACGTTTTGTGATCTGTGCCACTTTATCCAATGAGCAGTCTCAAATCCACAATATACAATCGATTCTGGTCGAGTTATGCAATCAACAAGGGCAGGTGCTTGCGAGTTATCTTTTAAATGGTTCTAATTTTAGCCAAGAAAAAGCTGTGATGCTGACTGAGATTTACTTTAAAAGTGATGCTTGGCGTATCGCTGCAATTGGTCAAGGTTTTAATGGTGGCTTAAAGGCTTTGGTTGAGCACTTTGGAGGAGAAGTTGAAGAAAGTGCAGCAGCTGCTCCATCTACAGTAAACCCATCGACAAGCAATACACCATCAACAATCGATCTGAAAAAGAAAGTGGTACTGGATAAAATCCAAAATGCAGCCCCACATTTGGTAGATATTACTAAAAAGTCTTTAATCAGTTTAGAAAAAAACAATTTACTCGATGTAAAAGCTCGTGTCGCTTTAGTGCTAGATTATTCAGGTTCAATGCATCAACAGTATATAAAAGGTGATGTGCAAAAAGTACTTGACCGAATTATGCCCTTGGCAGTCAATTTTGATGATGATGGTAGTTTTGAGTGCTGGGCATTTGCAGAAAAATCATTGCGATTAAGCGATGTAACCTTGAACAACTTAGAAAATTTTGTCAATACAGATCAAGGCGGTCATCCAAAGTGGAAAGCTGGTGCACGTTACAATAATGAACCTGCTGTACTTGAAGCCGTGATCCAATATTTTACCCAAGAAAATCCATCTCATTTACCGGTATACGTGGTATTTGTTTCAGATGGTGGGGTCAGTGAAAGTAAAAAGATTAAAAATATTCTTAAAAATGCATCCAGTTTTCCTATTTTTTGGCAGTTCGTGGGTATCGGCGGCCGTAACTATGGTGTGTTGGAACAACTCGATACGATGGATGGGCGAGTAGTAGATAATTGCAATTTTTTTGAAATGAGCAATATTCAAAGTATGCCTGAAGCACAACTGTATGATGCACTGCTTCAGGAATTTCCACTGTGGTTAAAAGAAGCGAAAAATAAAAACATTATTCGATAAAGTGAGGGCAATCGATGGCTAAATTTGAACTTGTAGGCAGTCCAGAACCATTTCTATTGGTCGATTTGATACAGGGAGAAAAAATATTTTGTGAATCTGATGCAATGGTCATGATTGAGCAAAATTTAGAATTGGCAGGAAATTTACGCGGCGGATTATTTCAATCATTTATGCGTAGATTTACCACAGGTGAATCGCTGTTTCAGCAAGAAATCAAAGCATCATTTGGTCATGGGCAGTGTTTACTTTCTCCAAACATAGATGGTGATATGCAAATTCTTAACATAGGACCTCAACAATACACTTTATCTGATGGGGCTTTTGTTGCAGCAACAGAACATGTCAATGTCAAAGCCAAGATTCAAGCAAATTTAGGTGGTGGATTCTTTGGTGATACAGGTGGTTTTGTGGTGATGGAATCATCTGGACAAGGACAACTGTGTATTTCAGGCTGTGGTACCTTGATGGAAGTCGATGTCAGTACCCAGAACGGAGAAACCACCATTGATAATGGTCATGTTGTGGCATGGGATTCGTCTTTAAGTTACAACATTGGTATGCCAAGTTCACAAAACCGCGGAATTGTTGGAAATCTTTTAAACAGTTTTACCAGTGGTGAAGGTATGGTGCTTAAGTTTAGGGGCAATGGCAAAGTCATTATTTGTTCCCGAAATCGCAAGAGCTACCTCACCTGGTTATCTTCAGCTTTAAATTTAAATAGAAACAATTAAATCTATGAGGGAAACACATGAGTATTAGTTTAGTAAAAGGTCAAAAAATCTCTTTAGAAAAAGGTGATGGTTCATCTTTGACCAAAATTTATCTTGGTGCAGGCTGGGATGTGGCGAAGAGTGGCGGATTTTTAGGTGGTCTTTTTGGTGGCGGTGGTGGTGATTCAATCGACCTTGATGCTTCAGTCATTATTTTTGATGAAAACAACCAACCGCTTGATGCAGTATGGTTCGGTCAATTAAAAAGTAAGGATGGCAGTATTTGGCATTCAGGGGATAATCGGACAGGTGCTGGTGATGGCGATGATGAAGTGATCCATGTTGATCTAACCAAAATTCCACCGCAAGTCAAAGCACTGGTTTTTACAATTAGTAGTTTCCGCGGTCAAACTTTTGAAAAAGTTGAAAATGCTTTTTGTCGTTTAGTTGACTCAAATACCAATACTGAAATTGCAAAATATAACCTTTCAGCAAAAGGCAATTATACTGCCTTGATTATCGCTAAAGTTTATCGCCACAATGGCGCATGGAAAATGTCTGCGATTGGCGATACCTGTAATGGTAAGACCATTCATGACATGCTTCCTTCGATCATTCCGGTGCTTTAAGAGCAGCTGTAAAAATTTTTAATCAACAAAGCCATTTCTAGAAATGGCTTTTTGTTTAAAGTATTTTCAATCTTTCCATTCTAAAGTTATCAATTCTGTAAAATAATTCTATAATAGCGTCCATTATTACTGACCTCAGTTGAGGTTGGTTCATTTTTAAGTCAATTTCTTCTCCGTGATTCGGCTTATTTTTCAATATTTAAATTTTATGTGTCCATGCCAACACATAAGAATATTTAGGTGCCCACATGGAAATCAAAGTCAATTACCTCGACAATCTTCGACAAGAAGCCAAGTTCGATGACTTTACAGTAATTGCTGATCAACCCATTCGCTATAAAGGTGATGGCTCTGCGCCGGGTCCTTTCGATTATTTTCTTGCATCATCTGCTTTGTGTGCTGCTTACTTTGTCAAAGTATATTGTGCAGCTCGTGATATCCCGACAGATAATATTCGTTTATCTCAAAACAATATTGTCGATCCTGAAAACCGCTATAAACAAATTTTTAAAATTCAGGTTGAACTACCTGCGGATATTTCGGATAAAGATCGTCAAGGTATTTTGCGTTCGATCGACCGTTGTACCGTTAAAAAAGTCATCCAAACAGGTCCTGAATTTGTTATTGAAGAAGTTGAAAGTATTGATGCAGATGCACAAGCATTGCTCATGCCAAACTTAGCACAAGAAAGCTCAACTTATATTGAAGGTAAAGATCTACCTTTAGAGCAAACTATTGCCAATATGTCAGAGATTCTGGCAGGTTTGGGAATGAAAATTGAAATTGCCTCATGGCGAAATATTGTTCCAAATGTATGGTCATTACATATTCGTGATGCGCAATCTCCAATGTGTTTCACCAATGGTAAAGGTTCAACCAAAGAAAGTGCTTTGGCTTCGGCATTAGGCGAGTTCATTGAGCGTTTAAATTGTAATTTCTTCTATAACGACCAGTTTTGGGGTCAAGACATTGCCAATGCTGAGTTTGTACATTATCCAGATGAAAAATGGTTTAAACCAGGACCAAATGGAGCGCTACCTAAAGAAATATTGGATGAATATACATTAGAGGTATATAACCCAGACAATGAATTGTTAGGTACGCATTTATATGACACCAACTCAGGTAATACTGAGCGTGGGATTTGTTCATTACCGTTTGTACGCCAATCAGATCAAGAAGTTGTATATTTCCCATCAAATTTGATTGAAAACTTATATCTAAGCAATGGTATGAGTGCAGGAAATACCTTAGCCGAAGCTCAAGTACAGTGTTTATCTGAAATTTTTGAACGTGCGGTTAAACGTGAAATTTTAGAGGGAGAAATTGCACTTCCAGATGTACCTGAAGACGTTTTAGCAAAATACCCGCGTATTGTTGAGGGCATTAAAGGCCTAGAAGAACAAGGCTTTCCAGTCTTGGTTAAAGATGCATCGTTGGGTGGTGAATTTCCAGTGATGTGTGTCACACTGATGAACCCACGTACAGGCGGCGTATTTGCATCGTTTGGTGCACATCCTAAGCTTGAAGTTGCTTTAGAGCGTAGCTTAACCGAGTTATTACAAGGTCGTAGTTTTGAAGGTTTAAATGATTTACCTAAACCAACCTTTAGCAGTAATGCGGTGACTGAACCGAATAATTTTGTTGAACATTTTATCGATTCAAGTGGTGTGGTATCTTGGCGTTTCTTTAGTGCAAAATCAGACCATGACTTTGTTGAGTGGGATTTTAGCAGTGCAGGTGAAAATGCCAATGCTGAAGAAGTAAAGACCATGCTAAACATTCTTGAGGAAATGGGCAAAGAAGTCTATATGGCAGTCTATGAGCACTTAGGGGCGACAGCTTGCCGTATCATTGTGCCTGATTATTCTGAAATTTATTTGGTTGAAGATTTAATTTGGGACAATACCAACAAAGCATTGTTATTCCGTGAAGATATTTTAAATCTTCATCGTTTGGATGATGAGCAACTTGAAGCCTTAGTTGAACGTCTAGAAGAAGTTGAAGTGGATGATTACACCGATATCGTAACTTTAATTGGGATTGAATTTGATGATAATACTGTGTGGGGACAACTGACCATCCTTGAGTTAAAACTGTTGATTTATCTTGCTTTACAACAGTTTGAAGAAGCCAAAGATTTAGTTGAACAATTCCTGCAATACAATACCAATACTGTAGAACGCGGCTTGTTCTACCAGTGTATGAATGTAATGCTTGAAGTTGAACTAGATGACGACATGGATTTAGATGACTATGAAGCGAATTTCCGTCGTATGTTTGGTGATGAACGAATGGATGCAGTTATTGGTTCTCTAGACGGCAGTATGCGTTTTTATGGTTTGACTGAAACCAGTATGCAGCTTGAAGGACTTGATCGTCATTTAAGACTTATTGACAGCTATAAGAAGTTACATAAGGCACGTGCTAAAGCTGTTGGCTTAGCAAGTTAAACGCATTTTACTTTAGAACATAAGTGAAATACCCAAGATTCGTCTTGGGTTTTTTATTTTTAAAAATAATACAATATTTAAAAAATCACTCAATCAAAGGATTAAGTTTATACTGATGATGAAATGGGCTATCCCTAATATCTCTTATGAATAAGTGAATGACTAATCCATCAATAAATTTTGATATTTATCAGCTTGTGTTCTTAAAAAATCCCAAACCAATTTAATACGCGGTTCATGCTGTAAATCGACTAAAGTTAGCATCCAAAAGGTATGAATAAAACGAACTTCATCTTGTAACACCTGTTTAAGTTCTGGCTTATTTTCTGCCAAAAACTTCGGCAAAATTGCCAATCCAGCACCTGCACTCACAGCAACTTGTTGGGCCAAAATACTGCTACTTCTAAAATTCGCATTGAGCTGTAAGGGCAGACGTTCTAAACAATACAGTTCAGGGCTATAAATTAAATCGTCAATATAGTTTACAAACTGATGGTTTTTTAAATCTTCAAGTTTTTTAATCGCTTGGGTACTTTCTAAATAGCTTGTACTGCCATAAATTTTAAGACAATAATCGGTTAAACGGGTAATGATATAAGGTCCTGACTTAGGACGATCGATGGAAATCACAATATCAGCTTCACGATGCGACAGCTTAATCATTTTTGGAACGGGGATAAGATCAATCGTGAGTAAAGGGTATTGTTTAGACAGTTCTGCCAATAGCTGGGCTAAAAATGCTGTTCCAAAACCCTCAGGTGTGCCAATTCGCACATGTCCTTGTAACGGTAAGTTGGGCTTTTCAATTTGCAAGAATGCTTGTTCCATTTGCTCAACACGGGGCACCAGTGCCAAGCCTTCCATAGTCAGTTCATAGCCTGTGGCTTCGCGTCTAAACAAGGGCGTTCCTAAAGCTAATTCTAGCGCCTGTATCCGTCTAGACACGGTACTGTGTTCGACCCCAATAATACGAGCTGCATTGGTTAACGTCTTGGCACGCGCTAAAACTAAAAAAAACTGTAGATGATCCCAATCGACTTTCATTGTGTATAACATCCTTGTGCATATTTGCACATTCATTGTGCGTTAATTTCTATTGGTCATCTATATTTTCTTTGTTAGTTTGATTTGAAACAGCACTGATGAAAATACTGCTTTTGGCTATTTTCTAAGAATGTAACAACAAAAAATATTGCCTATGGAGAGGTTATGAACACAATGTCAAATATTCATTCGACGACGGCTAAATTATTAATTAATGGAAAATTTACCGAATCAAATACTACTGAATGGCAAGACATTCTAAATCCAGCGACCCAAGAGGTGCTTGGTCGTGTCCCAATGGCAACTCTAGACGAAGTTGATGCTGCAATTGCTGCTGCACAAGAAGCATTTAAAACTTGGCGTTTTACACCAATTCAAGCCCGTATGCGTATCATGCTGAAACTGCAAGATTTGATTCGTGACAATATGAAAGATATTGCCCGTGTTTTGACTGCAGAACAAGGTAAAACCTTGGCTGATGCAGAAGGTGATATCCAACGTGGCTTAGAGGTGGTTGAACATGCTTGCTCAATTGGCACCTTGCAAATGGGTGAATATACTGAAGGTGTAGCCCGTGGTGTAGATACTTATACCTTGCATCAACCATTGGGTGTATGTGCTGGAATTACCCCGTTTAATTTTCCTGCCATGATTCCACTATGGATGTTTCCAATGGCGATTGTTTGCGGCAATACCTTTGTACTTAAACCGTCTGAGCAAGACCCATTATCGACCATGATGCTGGTTGAATTGGCATTACAAGCGGGCGTACCTGCTGGTGTACTCAATGTGGTACATGGTGGCAAACAAGTGGTAGATCGTCTATGTACGCATCCAGACATTAAAGCCATTTCATTTGTAGGTTCAACAGCGGTAGGGACGCATGTCTATAACTTAGCGGGTCAACATGGTAAACGTGTGCAATCGATGATGGGAGCAAAAAACCATGTCGTGGTCATGCCAGATGCCAACAAAGAACAAACCTTAAATGCTTTAGTTGGTGCTGCATTTGGTGCGGCTGGACAACGTTGTATGGCATTGTCTGTTGCTGTAATGGTCGGTGAAACTAAAAACTGGGTGGATGAATTGGTTGAAAAAGCCAAAACACTGAAAGTCAATGCTGGGCATGAACCGCAAACAGATATTGGTCCTGTGATCTCACCACGTGCTAAAGCTCGTGTTATAGATTTGATTAATAGCGGTATTGCACAAGGTGCGCAACTCTTACTCGATGGTCGAGACGTACAAGTCCAAGGCTACGAAAATGGCAATTTTGTTGGTGCAACCATATTCAATCAAGTCAGCACTGATATGCGCATCTATACAGAAGAAATTTTTGGTCCTGTTTTAGCCATTATTCATGTTGATACGCTTGAACAAGCCATTGAATTGGTCAATGCCAATCCGTTCGGGAATGGTGTGGGTTTATTTACTCAAAGTGGTGCAACAGCGCGTACTTTCCAAAGCACTATTGATATCGGCCAAGTTGGTATCAATATTCCAATTCCTGTGCCGGTTCCATTCTTTAGCTTTACCGGGTCAAGAGGTTCAAAATTAGGGGACTTAGGGCCTTATGGTAAACAAGCAGTAAAGTTCTATACTCAAACCAAAACCATTACCAGTCGTTGGTTCGAAGACACACAAGAAAAAGGTGAAGTGAATACCACCATCAGCTTGCGTTAATATAGGAGTTCAAGGATGAATATTGCATTTATTGGTTTAGGCAATATGGGCGGTAAAATGGCCCATAATTTACTCAAAGCAGGCTTGACGGTTTATGGCTTTGATTTAAGTGATGTTGCAATCGCACATTTCACCGAAGCAGGCGGAATTGCCTGTAATAGTCCACAGAAAGCAGCAGAAAATGCAGATGTCGTAATCACCATGCTGCCAGCCGCAAAGCATGTTAAAGAGGTGTATTTGGGTGAAAATGGGGTACTTGCTGTGCTTAAACAAGGCAGCTTATGTATCGACAGCAGTACCATTGATCCACAAACCATTAAAGACATTGCTGCAATTGGTGCAGAGCAAGGAATTCAAATTTGTGATGCACCTGTTTCAGGTGGCACGATCGGGGCTCAAGCAGGTACGCTAACCTTTATGCTAGGAACTGATGATAAAGCCTTTGAACAAGTCAAATCTGTGCTTGCACCAATGGGTAAGAACATCGTGCACTGTGGTGAAGTGGGTGCAGGACAAATTGCTAAAATTTGCAATAATCTCATTTTAGGCATTTCAATGGCCGCAGTGGCTGAAGGCATGGCGCTAGGGGCAAAACTCGGTATCGATGCACAAGCGTTGGCAGGCGTAATCAATAGTTCAAGTGGTCGTTGCTGGAGCTCGGAAGTGTGTAACCCATGGCCGGGTATTTCTGCAAATGCACCTGCTGGACGTGGTTATAGTGATGGCTTTGCCTCTCAACTGATGCTTAAAGATTTGGGTTTGGCTGTTGAAGCCGCAGGCCAAGTCAAACAACCTTTGCTTTTAGGTGGTTTGGTACAGCAGCTTTATCAGCAACTGTGTATGCAAGGTAATGCTCAACTCGATTTTTCCAGCATCATTCAGCAATATTTGCCTAAAGAAACTTAATCATCAATCGAAGCATCGTCAATTTCACCACCAATGGGTGGTGAAAAACCAATAGATTCACTCGTGTCATGAATAACAATAAATCCAGGCCGGAGTATATAATATGTTGAATTATCATGATGTTGCTAAAACATTTAATTTAGATGGTGCGGTTCAAGAGATGCTCTCAGGCTCGGTTGATCAACTGAATGCCTGTTATGAATGCTGTGACCGACATGCAGAAGCAGATCGCGAAAAAGTTGCCCTATATTGGCAAGGTAAAGATGGCCGTAAAGAACAATACACCTTTGCTCAACTGAAAAAATGGTCGAGTCAGTTTGCCAATTTTTTAAAGTCACAGGGTATTCAAGCCGGTGATCGTATTTCGGGTTTATTACCAAGAACTCCCGAATTATTGGTTGTGATTCTCGCTGCTTGGCGAATTGGTGCAGTTTATCAACCGCTATTTACTGCATTTGGCCCAAAGGCGATTGAACATCGAGTTCAGCTGGCAAAAAGCAAATTGGTTGTGACCGATATCGGCAATCGTAGCAAACTGGATGAAGTTGCACAGTGTCCACAAATTATGACTGCCGCTGATCAACAGGGTCATGTTGTACAACAAGGCGATTTAGATTTTTGGAAAGAACTCAATCAACATGCTGAGCAATGTGATCTGGTCATGCAAAGCATTCAAGATCCATTTTTACTGATGTTTACCTCAGGCACCACGGGGCCTGCAAAACCTTTGGAAGTTCCACTCAAAGCCTTAATTGCTTTTGGCAACTATATGAAAGATGCGATCGGCTTACGCGCAGATGATGCATTTTGGAATATTGCTGATCCAGGTTGGGCGTACGGTTTATATTACGGTATCACAGGACCCTTGTTGTTAGGCCATGCCACTTTGTTTTATGAAGGTGGTTTTAGCATAGACAGTTTATGCCAAATTATTGATGATTATAAAATTACCAATTTGGCAGGGGCACCTACAGCATATCGGATGATGATGGCCGCAGATCCCGCTCAAATGGCACAACTAAAAGGTAAATTCCGGGTTGTGAGTAGTGCTGGTGAACCTTTAAATCCTGAAGTTTTTCGTTGGTTTAAACAAGTGCTTGATGCGCCTATTTTTGATCATTATGGACAGACAGAGGTGGGCATGGTGGTTTGCAATCATCATGGTTTAAGCCACGACGTCCGTGCAGGCGCTGCTGGTTTTGCCAGCCCAGGTTATCGTGTTGCTGTGGTGGATGATCAAGGCAATGAGTTGCCTGCCGATACCGCTGGAATTTTAGCGGTAGATATCAGTCAATCACCGATGATGTGGTTTGGTGGCTATAAAGAAAGTCGTAAATCACCATTTATCAAAAATTATTATTTGACCGGTGATACTGCTGAATTACATGCAGATGGAAGTATGAGCTTTGTTGGACGTAGTGATGATGTGATTACCACCTCTGGATATCGTATTGGACCTTTTGATGTAGAAAGTGCATTACTTGAACATGAGGCAGTGATTGAAGCTGCTGTTGTTGGAGTACCTGATCCAGAGCGAACAGAAATCGTTAAAGCTTTTGTGATTTTGGCAGAAAATAAAACACCATCTGAGGAATTGGCTGAACAACTTGGGCAATTTGTCAAAAAACGTCTGTCTGCCCATGCTTATCCAAGACAAGTTGAATTTGTTACTGAACTACCCAAGACCCCAAGTGGCAAGATTCAACGCTTTTTACTACGAAATCAAGAAATTGCTAAACAACAATTAAGTGTATAAAGCCAGTAAGGATCATCCTACACAAGCTAAACTTGCCGAATGTAGGATGTTAAATGATGCTAAGGAATATGAAATGCAATTTACTGAAGAACAATTATTGATTCAGGACATGGCGAAAAGTTTCGCCCAAGAACAAATTAAACCAAATGCAGCAGCATGGGATAAACACAGCATTTTCCCCAAAGAGACCTTGTCACAAATGGGGCAATTGGGATTTATGGGGATGCTGATTTCAGAGCAATGGGGTGGTTCAGATACTGGAAACTTAGCCTATGTCCTTGCACTTGAAGAAATTGCGGTGGCCGATGGCGCAACCTCTACCATTATGAGTGTGCATAATTCAGTCGGTTGTGTTCCGATTGCTAAATTTGGTAATGAAGAACAAAAACAAAAATATTTAATGCCTTTGGCACAAGGTGAAATGATCGGTGCTTTCGCATTGACCGAACCGCATACTGGTTCTGATGCAGCAGCACTGAAAACCCGAGCTGTCAAAGATGGTGAGGATTGGATTATTAACGGTGCAAAACAATTTATTACTTCAGGAAATAATGCTGGTGTAATTATTGTATTTGCAGTGACCGATCCAAGTGCTGGTAAAAAAGGTATCAGTGCCTTTATTGTGCCACGGGAAACTGCGGGCTATGAAGTGATTCGGACTGAAGAAAAACTGGGATTGCATGCTTCAGATACCTGTCAAATTGCATTGACTGATGTGCGTGTACACAAAAGCTTAATGTTAGGTCAAGAAGGCGAAGGGCTTAAAATAGCACTGTCTAATCTGGAAGGCGGTCGTATTGGTATTGCTGCGCAAGCGGTGGGTTTGGCACGTGCTGCCTTAGAAGAAGCCAGCAAATATGCCAAAGAACGGATTACTTTTGGAAAACCGATTTTTGAACATCAGGCAATCGCTTTTCGTTTGGCCAGTATGGCAACAGAAATCGAAGCAGCTCGTCAATTGGTCCATCATGCCGCACGATTGAAAGAAGCAGGCAAGCCGTGTCTCAATGAAGCCTCAATGGCAAAATTATTTTCCTCAGAGATGGCAGAGCGTGTCTGTTCAGCAGCTTTACAAGTTTTCGGCGGCTATGGTTATTTAAAAGATTTTCCAATTGAACGAATTTATCGTGATGCACGTATTTGCCAAATCTATGAAGGCACCAGTGACATACAGCGTTTGGTGATTGCGCGAAGTTTATAAATAGAGTTAATCGCTGTGTATCAGATGATAGGATAAAACAGATAAGGAAATGAATATGCAATTTGAAACGATTTTACTGGAAAAACACAAAGGCGTAGGCTTAATTACACTCAATCGCCCAAAGGCTTTAAACGCATTAAATTCAAAATTAATCCAAGAAGTAAATTTAGCTTTAGATGATTTAGAAAAAGATCAGGATATTGGTTGTATGGTGCTGACTGGTTCAGAAAAAGCCTTTGCAGCAGGTGCTGATATTAAAGAAATGGCGGGATTGAACTTTCCCAATATTTATTTTGATGATTTTTTTAATCTTGCCGATCGAATTGCGCAACGCCGTAAACCCTTAATCGCAGCTGTCAGTGGTTATGCCTTGGGTGGTGGTTGTGAGTTGGCACTGATGTGTGATTTTATTTACTGTGCGGATAATGCCAAATTTGGCTTACCTGAAGTCACTTTAGGCGTGATTCCAGGCATTGGGGGTACGCAGCGTTTAACCCTTGCCATAGGTAAAGCCAAAGCGATGGAAATGTGTTTAACCGCTCGACAAATGGGGGCAATTGAGGCAGAACTGAGTGGTTTAGTTGCCCGTGTGTTTAGCCCCGAAGAGCTTTTAACCCAGACTTTAAGTGCTGCTGAAAAAATTGCTGAAAAATCATTGGTGGCGACAATGATGATCAAAGAATCAATTAATCGTGCCTTTGAAGTGAGTTTGGCGGAAGGTTTACGTTTTGAACGACGAACCTTTCATTCAATTTTTGCTACTTTGGATCAAAAAGAAGGCATGCAAGCCTTTGTTGATAAACGCCAAGCCAACTTTAAAAATCAATAACAGGATGAAGATGGGATGAATACTGAAAATCATTTAATCGTCGAACAGAACGCAGCTCTGGGTGTGATTACCTTAGATCGAGTGTCCAGCCTGAATGCACTGACTCTGGATATGATCAATGGTATCCGTATACAAGTTGAAACTTGGCAAAATGATGCTGGCATTCAAGCGATACTGATCAAATCTAATAGCCCAAAAGCATTTTGTGCAGGTGGTGATATTCGTTATCTTTACGATTGTTATCAAAATGGTACAGATGGACATAAAGGCTATTTTATTGCTGAATATGACATGTTGAATAGCATTCGCGCGTCTAAAAAACCGGTTGTGGTATTGTTAGATGGCTATGTCTTAGGTGGCGGTTTTGGTCTGGCACAAGCCTGTCATATTATTGTCAGTAGTGAAAAATCACGTTTTGCCATGCCTGAAACGGCGATTGGTTTCTTTCCTGATGTTGCAGCAACGCACTTCTTGTCACGTTTAGATGATATTGGGGTCTATCTGGCAACCACAGGTGACCAAATCAGTAGCAGTGATGCCTTATATTTAGATTTGATTGATTATCATGTTCCTAACCAACAATTTAATGACTTACTTGATGCGCTGAGCCAATCAAGCAATTTAAGCAAAGACAATATTGAACAGATAATTTCTAAATTTATTACCCGCCCTGTAGAAAGTGAACTCAGTGCATCGGTCGAGAACATTCGTAAGCATTTTGGCTTTGAAAATTTGCAAGATATTGAAAAAAGTCTTGAAAATGAAAAAGATCAACAGCATCAAGCCTGGGCAAGCAAAGTCTTAAGCACTTTGCAACAACGTTCTTGGGTGGCGAAAAAAACCAGTTTAAGACTGCAATACTTGGGACGGGGATTGTCATTACAACAATGTATGCAGTTGGAACGAAATTTACAGGATATCTGGTTTGAACATGGCGATATTCTTGAAGGTGTTCGTGCTTTAATTGTCGACAAAGATAAACAGCCAAAGTGGCAAAAAAGCAATATTGTTTTAGATAAAATATTGGCTGAATTAGGTTAGTCTTTTTAATGCGTATATCAGTTCTGTTTTTATAAACATTCAGATACTTTTAAAGGCAACAAAAAAAGGAAATCATGCGATTTCCTTTTTTCACGATGGTCAAAATCACCTATAAATCAATCTTATCGTATATAGCGTTGGCTTTCTCTGTGATTGCAGTCATATGGATTGCACCATGAATCATTCCTGCTAGAAAATGAAATTTCACCGAGACTCCAGCCTCTCTCAATCTTTCAGCATATTGTTCGCCATCATGACGCAGTGGATCATATTCACAGACAAAAATTGTTGCCTCAGGTAAGCCTTGTAATGATTGTGCCAGTAGAGGACTCACCAACTCATTGGTTTTGTCAGAATCACTATTTAAATATTGATCCCAACAATACGCCATTGTTACAGTGGTTAAACCATAACCATCCGCATAAGTTTCATAGGATTTACCCTGCATCGTGGCATCTAAGGCTGGATAAAACAGCAGTTGTTGACTAATCTGGATTTCTGGTTGCGCTTTAGCTAGTAAGCATGCAGCTGCTGCAAGGTTAGCTCCCGCACTATCACCACCCACAGCAATACGATTTTGATCAAGCCCTAAACTTAAAGCATGTTCTTGAATATAACGAAGTGCTGTAAAAAAATCTGTCAGCGGTACTGGAAATTTGAATTCAGGCGCTAGGCGATAATCCACTGAAAAGATAACATGCTGTGTTGATTCTGCCAGTAAACGGCATGAACGATCCCACGCATCTAAACTCCCCAAACACCATCCACCACCGTGGGCAAATACTAAAGCTGGGTTGCTTTGTAGCTGTACTAAAGCATAGGGCGTATATACCCGAACTTGGATTTGAGCTTGATCAGAAGTTGTAATCCAAAAACTGGTTTGATAGCTGGAATCTTGCTCAATACCTTGCTGTTGTATGATGTCCTGATTTACCTGTGCTCTTAATTCACAAAGTGTATTTGCAGCTGTTGCAACAGGTCTAGCGTTAAGCCAGTCTGCAATTTGATGATCTAAAGACATCTTATTGCTCCTGTTGTAGAAATTCTAAAATCAGGGAACAAAACGCTTCGGGTTGTTCCTCCATAATAAAATGACCACAATCTTTGACAATTGCACTGGTTAAATGCGGTGCAACTTTTTTCATGGTTTCATAAGGTGCATCATTGGTTGCCTGTTCTGCACCAATCGCCAATACAGGCATTTCTAGATTTTTAGTTGCGCGGATTTTATTTTGACGAATGGTTTCGGGGATTGAACGATAGTAATTAAAACCAGCCGTTAAACGTCCCGATACTTTATAAGCCTCAATATAAGTTGCAGCGGCAACTTTATCTCTGTGCCACGACCACTTATCAAAAATATAATTAAGATAAGTTTCTTCACGTCCACTGACCAAAGCTTCAGGTAAGTCCATCACTTGATTAAACATGAAATGCCATAGAAAAATATTTTCATCAGGTGAAACAAAAATAGGCGGTGGCGTTGCCAATCCGGGAATAACGGCTTCAGTCACAGCCAGAGAAGTAACAGATTGGGGAAAATCAGCTGCAAGTGCATAAGCAACCCACATCCCGATATCGTGACCAATCACTGAATAAGTATCATGTCCAAGTTTTGACATTAAGCTGGATAAAATTGTCGCAATTCGCCCCGTATCATAACTTCCATTCAGCGGGACAGAATATCCTGTTCCCGGTGGATCCACAGCAATTGCCTGATAACCATTGTCCGCCAATACGCTCATTACATTTCGCCATGCGTACCATGTTTGTGGCCAACCGGGGATAAGTAATACAACAGGACCACGACCTGTAGAGACATAATGAAGTTTTTTACTGTCTATATGGATGTAATGATGCTGAAATTGATCAACTAAATTTTCATGTGTTGTCATAGTAAATGCTCAATCTCTGCCTTAGA